AGCGGCGAGGGTCGAACACGAACCAGCGGCTGCGGAAGCCGCGTAGGGGGCCCTTGCCCGACAGCTTCTGCAGGTACCCGCAGAGCTTCGGAGCTCCGGGGCCGGCCTGCTCCCCTGACGGGCCGCCGGGCCCCGCGCCCTCCCCGCCGGCCCCCGCCGGGCCCTCCTCCCCCTCCGAGCCCGCCGCCGGCATCGCCTCGGCACCGCCGCCGCCTCGACCGCCGCGCCGGAGCGGGCCCGACCGCGCCGCCTCACGGGACTTGTAGTGCGGCAGCTGCGGCCCGGCCCGGCCCGACGCGCCCCGCCCGCGGGCAGAGCAGGAGGCCCGGGGCCGCCCCGCCCCGGCTGGCGAGCACGGTCCCGCTGCCCGCCGGGGCGCAGCCCGACTTGCGGCCCTGTTCCGGGACAGCGGGCCGCTGCTGACGTGGAAGCCACCACCCCAACACACCCAGCTGCCGACAGCGCTCCCCGGGTGCCGGCCCTCGCCCCTGCTGCCGGGCTCCGATACTTGCGCAGCCACATCAGAAACGATTTCCCCCTGTTCTAGCCCACAGAACAGTCAGATGAAAACTCTTCTCCTGCAGCGTACTGTACTACTCATCGGTAGTCTCCCTGTCCGAGCCTCTCTGCCTCAGCACCTTGTCCAACACCAGAGGAGTGCATAGGGCACACAGTGTATTCACTTTCTGGTGTCTGGTGTTGCTTAGTATCCCCTTGCTGCTCTGCTTTTCAGTGGACATTTAGAAATCATTTCCAAATCATTACTTATGGGGAAAAATATGGAACATGCAGGCAGCAATGGGTAAAAAGGGGTAGCTTACAGAGTTTAGGCTTGCAAATGGCTACAGGCCAAACTGTATGTTTCACTGAACACATTTCAGGATCTAGAGTGTTAATAATAGAGACCTATAATAGCAAACTTCACTGTGAAGAGATCAAACGGCCACAAGGGGCTACACATAATTTCTCCTTGTGTTTGGAAACTGTTATCTGCCTATTTCCATCAAACATTCCTATTGCTCTGGGCACAAATAGAGAAAACAGTCTGACGTGGCATAATCTTCCAAAAAATGGGGGGATACAGTTCCACATTTAAGGGCATTCAGCTTTTCATTCTCAACCTTCAATAGAGCACAAAAGGTTTGCTGTCAAAAGAGTTGTTGGAGCTGAGATTTGCAGTGGCATATTTATTAGGATTACACTGTTTATGAACTAGGTTCATCTGACTGAATTCTGACAGTTTGAAAGTTCACTTTATCCAGAAATCCGCACTCACTTTGTCCTCATTTTTAAATGCCTTGGTGAATTTCTTAATGAAAATGAACTGTCTGATATGCCAGACAATTTTCATTCTATGCTGAAGGATGTAAAGAGTATAAAGCATCTGAGTATTCAGCATGGTTGTCCATGGGTTTCACTGCGGTGTTGACATAAGGGATTGCACAACACTAAGTCCTCCTCTCTGACATGACACCTACCGATAAGAAATGAGTGAGCAAACAGCAGTGTCCGGTTAGCAAAGACACTCTGGTAACTTGTAGAAGCTGAAAGGGGTGAAGTTCTCTCCCCACTTAACTCACAGGACAGGTTAGATGTTGCTGCTCTGCGCAAAGTGAACACCCTGTTAATAAATGGTATAAGTAAAGTAAGAGTTGATCCTGTTTAAACAGCAGGTCAGTAAGATTTCTTCCATATGTACTGCTCAGTATTTCCTTCCCCAAATACAAAGTACTGTTGGTCTTCTGGTAGCATCTTTGTTGGCAAGTGGCATTTGCCAGAACATGAATTACACAGGGGAAACACTGATTCTCTTCAGAAGCTGCCAGTTCCTTATCTCAGTCATGCAGACAAGTTTAAGTGTCCCAGCACTTATATCTGATCTGCTACATTATCTCATCAGTTTAGTGAAGCATGGCCTTGTTCTTGGCCTGCTGAGCACCCATGACTCCTCCTCGCTATCAGTAATTACATCTTGCAGGAAATCACAGAATCAATTCCTAAATCCTCAAAACTTTTGCTGTCAGGATTTCACTTCTTTAATTTTCTGCCCAGCTTCTTTACAACACTCGAAGCAGGAGAATCCCCTCCTTTCACAGTTGATTCATGTAAACAGAAAGTTCCCCTTCTTGGAAAATACATTCCTTATTTCATGCATGCCCTTTCTTTCACAAACAGATCCAGATGTGGAAAGGGAAATAACAGCAACTTATTTCTAAGTGAGATCATAGCTCCAGAATTAGAATGGATGAGAGCGTACACTGCTTCCTTTCATAAAACAGAAAGTAAAAATTACTTTGCCTCTTGTCTGATATCTTCTGATAGAAGATGAAACCCAGAATCTTCCAGAGCTCCCACTAAACATCTCCTGGTTCTTGCTTTCCAGAACAAGGGAACTACAGACAACTATCCCCCTCAAACCCTTTCCCCGCACAGTGTCAGTGCAAACCTGCATGCTGAGATATAGGTTAAATGGTTAATTTTGTTCCATTTTAACAAATATGCTGCAGGTTCTTGCACAATTTTACCCTGTCACTGCCAAGATACCATCATACTGCTATAGCCTATGTATAGCACTTGTACACAGTATTGCAATACGTCATTTTGAAAAGTGATTGGTTTTGGCCTACTGTTATTTAAATTCTTTCAAGTTCAGGAACCAAAGGTTTTCCAAAGCTTTTTTTTTTTCTTTACCAATGGAGACAGACAGCCAAAAACTTTCTCCAAGTGACTGTTTCAGATGCAGTCTGCCATGTCATTCTCATTCTATATTCCCCTGCCTCTCAGGGGGGAATATGTGTCCACAAGGAACATCTTATAATTACATTGTCAGAAGAAATTCTTTCCTTATATGCAAACAAGTCATCCAGGGAATTACATGGTTTGCATGTTTTAACTGGGGGCAATGTTTCATACAGCTTTCATTCTCCAGTATTACTCTTTAAACACTAGATGGTGCTCTCCTCCTTATACACATTTGCCGTCTGTGTTCTCTCAAAATGGAAAAGATAAAAACGTTGAATACGCAGGGAAGCTTATTTGTAGTTTCTAATTCAGTATCAGAAAGACCTAATTTAACTTCGGTTAACTGTCTCATATAAAAGTAGCGGAATATACTACAACATTAAATGCATTGGTTTCACTTTTTGTTGCACTGGATCTTATCAAGAACTCTTCACTATGAGAAAGGAACAGCTACACAATTCAGTGAATGGCAGCATTGATTTCTGGTAACACATCTGTGATCTGACTTGTAAAGATATCGAGGCAAGTTGGTAGCCATGTAGAATAGAGAGAATCAAATTAGACCCCTTATGAATAGAAAAGCAGGAACTACTTAACTGCAGCAACAAACGGGGAAATCCGTATGCACATAATCATTGGCTTGTCAGCATTCACGTAGACCCAAGCTGGCTAGAGAATGGCTATAGAGCTTGATAGGAATGCTGAAGAGGATAAGCAGAAGGATTTAGAGTACTGTTGTAGAGATGAAAAGATTAATGGGCAAGAGATATAAACAAAGATAAGGACAATATTACTAAACCACAATTATTCCAGCTGCTTCCACTGTAACTTATTTCCATATGTACACTTGATTCCCAGTGGAGAACCTAAGAATATGTACATATAGTGGGGATTTACAGAAACATCCAGTAAACAGGAAGATCAGCGGAGATCGCAGGTCAGACTTTAACAAAAATCTTCACATAATCCTTTTTTTGTGTAATTCTTTACACAGAAGCATTACCTCTAACAAGAATCAGGCAAGAGCCACTGGGATAGAGTGGATCACAAAAGTTTTATATCCACTATTTCACAGAGTAAGAAATAATTTAGTGAAGGCTGTTTAAGATTACCTATATTCCCTGTGTAGCAGCTTAAGTGATGCTGGGCTAGAGTTTAGATGAACCCAGAACATTCACCCGAGTAATGCTCAAAACTACTTTTGAATCAGTCAGATTTTCTTCAAATAGGAAAGAAAGATGTTGAACAGTCATCCTGCAAGTAGGAGCCAAGAAAGAAATCGAAAGAGGCAAGTACAATTAGTTTTGAAGTCCATAATACATAAATGCTCCTGTGGTCAGAAATCCACCACTGCAGTATCAAAATGGAGGAAGGGGATTTTTTGGGGATCAGATGACCCAAACAGATTGCTGGGCTAGTAAACAGGAAGACAAGTTATCCTGGAGCTTCTGGGATTCCTTGCCTTGTTCTGTGTAAGTGATGATACTCTGCCCAGAGTACTACTTCATAACAGCATTGCAAAGTGTATAAGGGAAGTTTCCATTCACCCCCTTTCAAGAAATAAAATCCTCTAGTAAAGGGTAAAAGTATTGGTCAAATGGGATCAAAAAAACCCTGAAGAGAGTAAACTGAAAGACAGAATCTGTAAGTGAAATAATCTTGTCTAAAGCCAGGCAGATTTAGCCAGACTCTTTGGTCAGGAATCCAGGCTACCTTCATCACAAAAAAAAAATGATTTTGCAGGAAACATCTCTTGCTATTTGTTTCTGCTCAAGACAAACATGACCAGAGCAGCTTTTCCTGTGGTTTTCTGTTCTGGAACTTCAGGCCTTGGCTTTCAATAAAGACAGGAAGCACATGGAAAACTGAGGAAATACAGGTTCAAGAATAAGTCACAACATTCAAATCTGGAGCCAAACTAACCCTAAGTCATTTCTAACTCAGAGAGATAACAAATAATGGTGCCATCTAAGAAAACGTGAGGAGAAAATGTTCCTATCCCATCCAGACAGCTGCTCTCCCGCACCAATATATGCTAAGAATATATGCCAGATTTGCAATTACGTTTAACCACTGGCTTACCTGGCAGTCACACACACTTGTCCTTATCCTGTTTTTTAATGCATTCCCTTTCTTGTACAGATCCACAGGTTGTTTTCTGCAAAAGATCCAAACAGTAATATTTAGCATATGATATGACTATTCCTATGGGGATATGACTGTTCCTATGGGATTTGCTCTTAGGCATTAAAATTTACCATGTTTCTTGTCTCTTGTTCCACGTATATGTCAACCAGTGAGTTTTATAAAAATGTGGTTTAGCTTTTATTGATTATATCAGTTATAATTCATAACCTCCAAGCCCTCACAAATGGTATTGCTGGGAAAAGTGTGACAATCAGTGTCTTCTGAGAAGGTGTAACTGGCTTTGAATCAAAGCAGCAGGAATTTTTCCAGCAGTGTTATATGGTTTTAATATACTCAGCCTTCCAAAGAGCAACTCCCTGTAGCCACTACCAGGCATGACCTGTAGAGAAAAGTTGTACATAGGTGACAGTCAGTATTGCTGAAAACAAATGAGGATATACAGATAAAGACAGCTGTAAGTATCATGTCACACGTTCCTGCCTCTTCCAATTGCATGGTATGGAAATCCTAATGCACAATATACAAGCTATTCTCAACTTGCAAAACAGATCCATAGCAATAAGGATTTATCCTCAACATTTTCTGCTTTAGTATTTCTTGTGGTTTGCATTTTTTTGGTAGGATTTAAATTCAAAACAGCAAGTCATGCATCTCATTCAACTTATTTCATGAATTCAAGAAGAAAAAGCCAGCAACACTACCACAGCATCACCATTAGCAGAACTATTAAAAAGAAGGATGATATTAAGTGAAAAACAAAAGATCAGATTAGGTGAAAAGCAAATCCCATTCACAAGAAGAATCAGCTCTCAAACTTGATCATAAATTATCACCACAATTGTCTTTTCTCACTGTCTCTGTAATGGATTTCTAAGCTAAAAATGTGTTTAGAAACTGGCTGCCTCAGCAGTCACAGAAGTGATTGAAGGCTCTACCAGGGGGGAGAATAAATCAGTAGATGACAAGGGAAGTGTCCTTTACTCTCTTTCCTTCTGCATGCACTTCATTTACCCCTTTTTTAATGGGACATGAAAAGGAGATTAATGAGAATCAGAGGCCACAGAGAATCACTTTTATTTGTAAATTATTAGATCCAATAGCAGGAGATTAGCCATCAATTAAAAAAAAAATCTACCTGCTTTACATCTTAAGGTAAATCAGATATGGCAATCCAATGTAGGTAGGATTCTAACCCAGCTTCCTGGGGTTTCATTACAGGATTCACAACTACCTCAGTTTCTTCTTACAAAGTCCAGATTTATTTTAGGTTTTTCTAACATAATAGGCTTCATTTTCCCTGCACTAGTATTCTCAAGCTTAATACAACAGAGGAATGTTGTATTAGTACTGAGTGTTCTACTAGTTCCTTGCTGAAAATAAGCAAAAATTAAGAAATAATGAGAATGTACCATGAATAGGTCACTAACTGGTTTGCTTTTCTAACAAAGCTATACTTTGAGTACACTGAATACAATGGACTGTATTTCTACAGCTGTGTGACCAAAATAAGCCCCAAACTTCTTGGCAAACCTGAGAGAGCTGAAGCGAAACTTACTGCACTGCATCAGTCCTCTGACTAGCATATAACGCACAAGAGAGACTCCATGGGTGAACCTTCAAATGATACACTGACATTTTAAGGGATATAATAAATCTCATGTTTCTTCTCAGGAGGAGTTTGGTCAAAATATGTAGATACTGTTCAAAATATTTACTTTGGCTTTACCAGCCTTCGTTTCATCAGCTGATTACTCATCATGTCAAGGGCAGTGGTATTTAGTGGTAAGCCTGCAGCCTGTTCGTGTACAAAATGTACTCATTTCAAGCAAGCAGATGAGAGGGAATGTTATCTGAGTTCACTGTACAGTTGTGCAGGAAATAACAATACAGTGCCAACTCAGATGCGCGTCTTCCTTGTGATAGCTCAAATATTCTTTGTTTAGATCAGCAAGAACATTCAAACAAAACTTGTGAGGCACAGATTAAATTATTAAGGTGGGTTTTTTTTTCCATTTTTCAGTAGTCTCAGATTAACTATTCATGTTTTAATAAAGTCATCAAAAGCAAAGAGGTATACTAGAGATTGTGGTGCTGTTTAACACAAGTAGTATGGTACTGCATCCCCAGTTCAAAGTGCTAGAAGGTCTGGTGTCTGCCCCAAAACAGCAATTTAACCTGGCCTGATTTAGCTAAACTGCACACTAGAAGAGGAACGTGAGGGTATATGAAAGCCTATACCTTTATTGAGAAATGGATCCACTTCATTCAGACTGTTCACCAAAGATGCCAATGTTTGCTATGCCAAAGCGCTCCTTGTGCCTGCTGTTCACTCACCACTGACAGGCACACTTCTGGCATCAGCTCACTGTATGATGGCAAAGGTTCCTATCTCTGTTGTCCAGGACTTCTGCCTGTTGGTAGAGCAGATGAATGCAGGTTGGAACTGTGGCCTGCAGTATGAAGGATTTGAATGAGACAATAATTCAAAGATTCACTTCACAACCTATTAAAATGATATACTTTTAGTCATAGTAACACAGTGAATTACAGGAGAATTTCATAACAAAAGAGAACTTCTGCTCCAGAAGGGAACAAAATTAAGGCTCAACTGGTTATAAATAAGATAGTTGGCATGAAGTTTGAAATACCTCATACCTGTAGTCCTGCAGAACATGGCAAGAGCAAAGCTTTGTTTCACAAGCCGCTCAGAAAATCTTCACTTTCCACTTTCTACATCTAAAGGCTTCTGGTGCACAAGATTTGCACCTGGAAACAGCTTTACTTCTGAGAATACACCCATTAATTAACCTAGTCACGTAAGCAGAGCAAGTGCAGTCTTTCAGTTTCAAGTTCTTCCTAGAGGGAACTCTCTCTGAATCTCCATGGTTTTTGTAGGCAGAACCTTATATCTGCATGAAAACAAAGTCACATGACCATTTTCTGAAAATCAAAAAGACCATTTTGGTTAAAATCCCAACATACTTTTTCCTCTCAGTAGGCCATAATGACAAAGTTGAACAGATTACTAAATAGATCTGTTCCATCTTATTGGGGAAGATGGAAGGGGGAAGCCCAGGTGAACATCAATTTATTTCTAAGTATCACTGAAGTAACCCTGAAGATTAGATAACTAAAATGACAAGACCAGTGATCAGCCTCTGGGGTGACATGAGGAGCAGCTCAGACCCACTAGGGATGAAAGGCCTGTTAAAAAGCTGGATCTGACTTTTAGACAGAAACTGGGCAGATGAATACTTTCTCAGACTGAACTGAGAACCACTTACATCAAGAAAACAGACACCTGATACCTGCTTTCTCACAGAGGTTTACATAAAGGACCAGACACCCTTCAAGGATCAGCTACCATTTCCTACAGTGTATTACGCTTTAGCTGTGTGGAAGTCCCCGAGCTGTGACTGAGCCCACAACAGTGAGTTGCCTTGCTCCAGGCAGGCTGCCACAGCCACTGATTTCACTTGAGAAAAGCTGCAGGAACACCAAGGAGGTGGTTAGGCTGGTGCCCATAACCCTCCTTAGCAGGGTTAAAACATGTTGGCCAACATCTTCAGGCACAGGCAGCCTCAACATTCATTTGCACAGAACAGAAGGACAGTGTACAAGTCATGGTTTGTATTGCAGGGCTTTTGAGGATGCACTCAAAAACATGCATGGCACATTAATCATGCCTGTGCAAAACATATGACATGCATCATGGATCTATGTATAAACACATTGGGATCTGAACATATCTTAACTGAGAAAGAACAGGGGGAACAAGTGATTTACATCACAACAGCAGAGCACACAAAGGCTGACGCACCTGGCTGGTCATTGGTCTTGCAAATGAGACAATCAAAAGAACAGGAGGGAACAGGAGAGAATTTCGTTTGGAGTTCAAATTGTAAAAGGTTTTTTTTCTACAGACAAGAAGGGCAGAATTTCCAGTTAAAGGTACCTGCCTCTGTAATACTGATGCTCTCTTAATTCTACCAAGAACAGTCTCTTTCTTTTCCCCACCAAAGAGAATTTGATAGTCACTTGGTATCATTAACATCTCTAGAAGACAGACATAACTGCAAAATGATACAGAGAGAAAAGCAGAACATCTGTTCACTATGCCCTTCTGTCTCGGATACGTATCTTTCTAAAGACATGAACAACTATAATTTTATTATCTTTAATGTCTTCCTCATCTAATTTCATTCCACTGTCTGTCCCAGCTAAGGTGTATTGGGCAATAACATTATAAACTCTTTTTAATCCTGCTGTTATTTCAGCCCACATTGATTTACTGTGGATCGTTCGCTGACAAGCATCATATTTCTCATTCCACAACAAAACTTCATCTCTAGCTTAATCTATTATTCTCTTATTTCAGAATATAATCTGAATCTATTAAATTCTCTAGAATATGTGTTTTTATAATTTCTGCAGCAACATCCCTATTTATTTCATTTTTAATGTACCTTTCAATTTTCTGGTATTTTAATAAAAAACCCCACTTGTAATATGCTTTTTTCCATTAAGAACAACACTGGAACAGATTCCATCCCTGTAAGAAGTCACATAATATCGTATGTGGTGACTTACCTCAGAGTTTGACCTTAAATCAAAGAAACACACCTATTCAGCATGTGGCAACACACTGTTCCGAACATTAGGCCTGTGCCTAAGCTCCACTGAAGATGAAACATGGCTCATCTGAGATGGAGATGTTTCACAGCAGTCAAATATAGAAACTGTCAACACAAAACATTATGGTAGAGAAACCTGAGTTAATCCATTCTGATATTTTCTCATACCAAGAAAAGATATAAATACCACAGACCACCTATAAAGACTTCAACTTAGTGTCACTGTTCTATAGGCAACAAGCCAGCGTAACTTATAAAAGACAGACAATAAAACTTCCTATAAACCAACATTTGCTATTATCTGCAGCAGCTGCAGCCACCAGATTCCCAGAGAACGCATGACAGACAATGTGAAATAGTCATTTTTACAAACAAAGCACCATAAGGCACTACTATTACGTAAGGAAAAAACAGTGAAAAAATATCCAATGATACTGAAAGCCAGCAAAATTGAATAGATGGAATTAAAAACATTAACTCATGAAAAGGGGAAAACCCCCGACCACCATTATTCTGATCAATACCAGATATTACTGAGAAAGACATCACACAAAACCAAATAGAACCATAGAATCTTAGAAGAGCTAGGGTTGGAAAGGACCTTAAGATCATCTAGTTCCAACCCCCCTGCCATGGGCAGGGACACCTCACAGTAAACCATGTCACCCAAGGGTCTGTCCAACCTAGCCTTGAACACCACCAGGGATGGAGTAACTATGGAAAATTACAGTATCGGCATTTGACACAGCTGAAAACACTATAAATGAGTACTGTCATTATACTGGTCCCAATCCAACTGGGGTGTGCATCAAGGAAAAAGAATTCTCGTGTACACAAATTATTCTATAAAATCAGTCAGTTTTCATGTCTCGTTTCTAAAGTTAGTTTTGCCCCTTGTAAGATTTAACTTCATTAATCTGATCAAATATGAAACTTTATATGTAATTATCTGCAGTTCTAAAACCAGTAATTCACCAAGTTTTCCCCTTTTTGTTTGTTGCATCACAGACCCTATTACGGTACCCCATAGCTCAGGGAAGTTAAAACAGTGAAATGATGTTATGGTGCCACCTTGTGATGCTGGATCAGAAGTGCCTCTAACGTGTCCACGGAGACAAAAATAAGCCCTAGGGGAAAAAGAAAGGAGACTGTTTCTACATGATCTGGAGAAATTGCAAGAGATTCCAACCCTGAGCCTGCTGGCAAAGAGGACCAGGTGGTTATTGACTAACAAAAGAGCATTCAGCATTTTAAGATTACATTAAAAGGGCATGAGAGAGCCCAAAGAACTGCAGCAAAAACCCAACTGCTTTCCTCAATGCAGATCCAATCACAGAAATATGAGTTAATTCCACCAAACTCAGCAGAGTTACTGCAGATTAATACAGAAGTAATGAAGATCAGGTTTTGGACTGCAAGTCTCAGTTGATGGTATTCCTTTAAGACAATGATAAGCTATATGTCTCAGCTTATGGTATTCCTTTAAAACAATGATAAGCTAAACTGCATTAATAAATAACATAGTTGTAACTTGCTTTTTGACGCTGTTTTATTCACTTCCACCGGCTCATTTTTGTCCCTAAATTGCTTCGAATGTGTATAAGCTGGAGATAACACACACACACTCTTAGCTATTTTAATAGAGGCTTTAGGAAATACTTCGTCTATTTTTGAAGGCAGATATAGAAATATCCATTCATATTCAAAACCTTTTCTGCAGTACAAAATCTGTATCCTCTTTCTTTAGGCCTCATCCAAAACTGCTTTAAATCTCTCTTACTGCTTCAGTTTCTTTCTCAACAGCCTGATAGTTCCTTTTGAATAAATAAGCCGGTTGAAGAAACACTTGCTAGTTAGTGAATCCATCATACTGCACTTCTAATTCACTCAACACTCTTGCTATAACAAAAGCTTCAGTTCTAATACATCCAACTACAGACAACTAAGAAACCACAAATACAAAGCTTGTTTAGAAAGGTATCCCTTACCTTTGCTATCAAGTGATATAACAACTTACCTACTGCTGGATGGGATTCTTTTGCTCCAGAAACATTTGGAGTACATCTCTCTCTCAAACTCCAGGAACATATAATGTTGATGGGGTTTTTGTTACAGGAGGTGAACAGCAGTCAAAAAATTAAAAGCAATTTAAGACAATAGCATAATTTGTATCTGCAGTATTCTGCAAGAATTCTCCCTTAACCATGGACAGGCATATTCCTTCACAGGGTGCTCCTGATTTCTTTCTCTCTTTGTTTCTTAGTTCAGTAGGATGACTCAGGGGTTAAATACCTGACTGCAAGCCCAAGTGTCTCTTCAACTGCTTTGTGACTTTCTGGTCAGGGAGGACATAGGGAAAAAATACACTTAGCAGTTCCAAGGCAACTGAGGTCTTCCTTTAAGTGAAGAGGAGGATCTAATTGTGGAACAACACAGTGTGAGGAAGGAAAGAATTTTAGGTAATGGAAGTTCTAAAACATAAAAAGAGAACCCCAATGTTAAAAGGAAGTGATCTATGTCATCAGCATTGGATCCTTCTTGTCTGAATCATCTGATCCAGAATCCTGCAACCTGGTATTTCACAATACATAATAATTGTGTCAGAAAAACACATCTGATGAGGCCTTCAGGATTAAATGCCTGTCTTGAAAGGAATAAAAAACTATTAGGTTGGTATTTTGAGGAACAGGAAGTAATTTTTAGCATAATCTCTCTTAATGCCAATGTCTTGCAAATTGCTTGAACCAACCAATGCATCTAACTTAATCAGCTCCTTAGAAAGATTCAATTTTATGGTAATTGGAATAATAACCAGAAAGGAAATCAGTATGTGCTTAGCCCAAGAATTCCCAAAGCACAATAGAATGCATCAAAAGATTTAATTGTGATGACTTTGATACAGAAGCTATGTAAGTGACAGAGCCCTTCTATTGACTGTTAGAACAGTAATATATATATGATTGTCTTCAGGCCCCAGTACCTAACCAATACTGGAACTAACACAATGAAAGAACAATCTAGCTGATTTCCAGCTGGAGAGGGAAGAGAAATACAGAGCTGCATTCATGCATTTCATGGGAAAGATTGCATAGCTGGTTTAGAAAGAAAATGTCTTTTCATGTCCTTAGTAATTGTTCTGTGCTTCTTTAACTTCTTCATGAGTTACAGATGATCAGATTTTTCCATTCTATTATCAGCCCATAGAATGAGTAAAACGCAGGACCCCATTTGAGAATAAGGACACAGTTTTAACATTTACCTTGGGAAGAAAGGAATTGTGTATACAGTTACCATATACAAAAGGCAAATATTTCAAGTTTCATAAGGACATGACAATCCGTAAAATATCAGTTGAAGGTAAGCACCAAACCCAGCAACTGCCATTTCAGGGACTGAAAGGCAAACCTGGGATGTGGTTGTCTTCAACACTGGGAGCTTCATCTTGACTGCAGTTCTTTTACCTAAGGGAATTTCCATGCAAGATCCCCAGCTGTACAACACAGTGATAGAGGCATCTCATTACTTAAGGCCCTTGCTTCCTTTCAAATACTTTTGGAAAAGTCATCAAAGCTAATCTGTCTGTCTTTATTTTTTGCACTTTTCAGAGCAGTATTAAATATTCATAAATATAAAAAGTATGTGGAAACACCTTTAACAATATTCTGAATCTGCCTGTTTAAAAAAAGACAGGAAAAATGGCAACCCACAACCCAACAACCAACCATCCTTTCCACAGTGCTTGGCCAGCAGTGAAGATAAACATGTGACTGTTCCAACTATCCTGTGGATCACATGATGCTTCTGTCTCTTCGAGGACCAGAATGATTTCAGTACTTTCTGCTGAGTTCTAAGAAGCCATAATTAGAGGACAAAAGCCCCCGGAGTGCCTGAGATTCGGAAAGGCTGGACTGGCAAGTCATTTCTGACAACACTGGTCACAGAAACATCATCAGATTCTTATGTGGAAAGTACTGCAAAGGAAAGAAAAAGATTAAGAGATAGAAACACATCTATCATTATGCACAACATTTTCCTTCAAGTACAAAAAGGAAGGTGCTGTGCAATATATCTGAATCTCTTCTCTCGTGCTCTCAGGAAGATTTAAGCATCCTGGGAGAAAACTCTACCTTCTGAAAATGTGAGCTCAGGGAGGCAAGCTCAGCACTGGAGTAAATCAAGTGTAAGTTGACCTATTTATTGGATATACAGCAGAGCTAAATGTTTCCCAGTGGTACTTTTGCTATGGCACAGCATTTGGGTTCCTAAGCAAGTCAAGGTAGATAAATTTGTTGTTTCTCTTGCTAGAACCAAGAGATCCTGGTTTTATCTTCTATTTGCATTCTCAAACAGGCAAGCAGCATGCCTTACTACCGCCATCAGTTTTCAAAACTCCTGAGCATCTTAGCAGGACAGTAAAAGATAATTTAAAGAGGGCACACTGAAAGCTCACTTTCTTTAGGTAGTAATCTCTGTTCAGTGTCACAATAGTATAAACCATATGCTTCTTTCTTCACTGAAATAAGAAGGGATTATTATGTATTTTTATATGTAAATTCTACCATTTTGATGCCTATACTGAAAGAAAACTATCAAGGTTTAGAGTATTTGTGAGGTTGAAAAATTCTGGATATACAGGTTTTAGATTTCATTTTACACAAAAAAAAATGCTCTAACTTAATCACAGCTATTTGGTGTGAGTCAGGAATTCACTGAAGGAAGCCCTGTATATATTCAGAGGATACAAAGTTTTATATTCACAGTGGTACCAAGGAACTTTGTATGTAGGAATGTCTTCAGTCTGGGTGACACTGAAAGATAAGATGTACATCAGTCTGGCACACTAGCGTAAGTACTGTGAAAGATACCAGCACTGGTGTTTTAGAAAAACAGAAAGATGAACATCTTGTTCACAACTCAGGCAATGTCCAGAGCCCCACATTAATACAACCTGTTGAAAGGTTAAGTCCCACACAGGCAATATCTAGGAGCTACAAAGTTCACAGCATTAGATATGAAAACTTTTTAGTCATGACTCCGTAAAAACAAAAATCAAGGCCAAACCACTTCAATGGGAATCTCTATTAGACATGTCTTGTATCATTTTGGAGATTAAGCTTTTTACTAAGAAGCAGCTAAAATATTCTGTGAAAAACACTGACAAAAACTATTCCCTTCCTCTGCTTTCTCACTAAGCATCTCGTGCCCATTTGTCACTAGCTCTAATTTTAGTCCTAGAGAACTAGATAATCTGCATGTTAGGACAGGTCTTATAACATGTACATTTCTCATAAGTTTCTGTACTTAAGCTTCAGGTAGGACTGGAGTCAGGGCATCCACTGTTGTATGGGTTCAGGCCCAGTAAGGTTTCAGAAAAGCTGCATTTCCAGTAACGCCTTGTTGTTTCTCTGTCTAGTTCTGGCAGCTCCCAGGTGTTACTAATGCCATATTCTGCTTAGACTCCATTTCCAATTGTTATAGTATGTTTCACCTTCAGGCATTCAAATAATCTTAAACTTCCAGGATGATTTATAAAACAATTTCCTGTGGAAAACGTAACCAGTCTTGTAGAACAGAACACTTAGCTAGTGCCAGTTCAGACTGCTAATACTGCCATTAAACTACAACTGCCTTCTTAATGACAGCAAATTTGAGTGAAATAAGCCTACTGGGATCAAATTTTCTGAACTAACAACTGACATTATCATTTACTGCTTACTCAAGCTTCTGGGATAACAGCCAAAAATGCATATATCTTCTTCCCTGGCCAACCATTAGCAGTGTTTTCTTCGAGGCTTAAAAAAATTCCTCAACCACAGCAGTGCAAATCAAGCAGCAGCCTTGTACTGCAGCTTCGCTTGCTTGACAGCAGTACAGAGCTTGCAAAGGCTGTCTGCAGGAGATTAAACTTACACAGGGTCATTAAGTAAAGGCTTGAGAAATAAATGATAAGGAAAATCAGTCAATGTACAGTGGATGAACTTTAGCTGGCACCAGGTCAAAGCCTGCACCATGGTGCCAACGCCAACTGTATCTATTAAGTATGCATGAGAGGATGACAGCTTAATCAAACCCAAACAATATACTGAGCTGTGTGAAAAAGGCTTCAAAAACTGCAGTACATATTGTTATGGGAGTCTGGCCTTCAAAGGTTTTCCACAAACAAGGTAAATCAAGGTACTCCTCCTCAGTAATTTCTTACATTAATGATGATGAGATTTTACAGTTGGATAGTTCTTAATGTTTGTCAGAAGTCAGGGAAGCACTGGTCCCTTGTAACAGAGCAGGTATCACCTGCTCAAGCAATGACAAAGCATACTTGTCATTTCATCCCTCTTTTTACTCATCTTCTTGCACTGCTGAGTACCCACCACTCAGGTCTTTGCACTCATCTCCTCAGCCTCCCAAAACATCACAAACTTGGATAACAAAAATAATTATGACAGTCATTCCAGTGACTACAGTGGCAAATGCCCCTCTGCTTTCTCAGGAAATTACTGGATTGCACAGCATCCTCAGCTCGGAATTCTCAGTCAGCAGTTTGCAAGCCTCTAGAACACAGCAGTGAAGAAAGTCATGGCACAGGAAACTTCTGAAGCTACGGCTTCTGCTGAGTCTTCAGATCTGCCTTCAATTCTTCACATTTGATCTCTGTTCTATACCAGATCTGCAGGTATGCTTCTGATTGATTAAAGGAAACTACCTGACCCCAGCATCTTCTAATACGGGTAACAGTATAAAGAAAACGTTTTCTTAGGTGGGAATATATGTAAATAAAATATTAGAATACCTACTCAGCTGAGCCTCACCATAATGACAATATGTATCTTGTTCTAAAAGAGTTTCTGTTGTTACACTTGATTAGTCAAGGAATACCTGACATGTTTCTAATGTATAAAATGCATCTGCATTAACTTTGTAGCATATCCTCTTGAGGCACTGATGTTTCTGAGGGTTCACAGGAATCATGTCCTCATGCTCTAGTGTAGAATCATTTTAAACATTTTGTTATAATGTCTGTCCTCAGAAATTTCGTTAATGAAAGAAATAAATTGCTCTGTGTTCTGCAGGACACTTAAAACTTGCAGACAGTTGTTGGATTATTCATCTTCCCAGGCGTTAGAATTTAGGTGTTATCATCATCACCAGACATACAGCAACACTATCAACTTCACAACAGTGTCTATGAGCAAAGATTACAGAAAAAACTTGTTCAGGTTATCAAGCATTTACTATTAGACACAGTTAACCCAGATCACTTAATTTTGGGGAGAAATTTAGACCTAGATTTTAGCTTCAGCCTACTCTGCCAGTGGATTTAAGATTCAGATATGAACTCCGTCCAGTCTGGGAGTACATTATTTTACTGGCTAGTTCACTATAACTTCCTAAAGAAGGTCTATCCCTATATTTCTATAGGCTTAAATGTAAGTTTATGTAGGATGCTTTATTAAGGTGTAAAAATTGTTATTGTCCTTTTCAAAAAGTCTCTTTAAATATGAAGCATGCAAGAAAAACCTTCTTAAGACAGCAGGGATTTATCTGAAGATTATTAGGAAGAAACTCAGCAACAACAATACAAAAAAATCAGTTAGAAACAAACAAAAAACCCCCAAACTGGTTAACAGTGGAGATGGAATTACTGCAGCAACGCATCAGTTTAACTGATTTTCTGCTACCAGCATCAACCTTACCACTGTAATGTCCTCTAGCTCTTATCTTCTCAGCATGAAAGATCAATATGTTACCATGTATATTTGGAACATGCATACAGTATTTCCACACATACCTATTCAGATAGTCTGGATCCTTGCTAAAGGCTTGAGAACAATATGAATTCGAGCTTTGTTCAAAATCACACAAACAAAAAAGAAAACAAAAACCAAAGATGATAAGCTCTTAGTCTTCAAGTTAGGAGAGATCTGGAATGTGCTTTGAAAAGTAAACTGAGTTAGGGTAAGAAGTCATCCTCTAGTCAGCTCTTCAGTGAAGTACTTATGGCTGGCATTTCTTATATTTCTTGTATTACACAGTGTTATCTTAAAAAAGTACCTGATAACATGCAAGAGACTGTCCTTTCCTTACAACAATACCTGAGGAAGTCTGGTGCTTTGGAAATCATGTTTTCAAAGTCTGCAAATCCCAGTTTCCCATCACCATCCATGTCAGCTTCTTCTATCACTTTCTCGCAAACCAGAGTGATTTCTTCTGCTGTTAGCTCTTCTCGGGTCAGCTTATTGAGGGTTTTTTCCAAGTCTGCTTTACAAATGAAGTTGTCTGTGTTAAAATCTAAACAATAAAAGAATCAAAGATCACCAGCAACTCTCATACTAACTGACTTCAAAAGAAAGAGGCACAGAAAAGCATCCCGATACAGTACCATAGATCTTGAAGGCATAGATTGCTTTAAGCTCTCTGGGAGCCATTTCACTGAGCACAGAGAACATATCCACAAAGTCATTGAAGCTGAGGCTCCCCTCTCCATCTTCTGAGAAAGATTCCACAATCCTTTCCTTGAAGGGATTCTCCTGTGAGAGACAGACATGTTTTGGGTTTAGTATTTGGAAGGTCAAAACCCCGCAGGTCCCCTCTAATGAGTATTTCACACCATGGTTGGCTCTTTGAAGACAACTTTATTTTCCTTCCAAAATCCATCTAAAGATTTCTATTGTTATGCTTTTGCAGAAAGTGTCAGCAGAAGATGCTGCTGCATAGTACCACTGCTCACCCAGGCTTTCTCAGCTCCATTGCTATTCATTCTCTCTAAACTGATGCTCACCTCATTTTTCCTGTGTGGAACACATGCTCTGTAACTGTAAGGGTAAAGATACTAAGAGTGTGGAGATCATTTTCATATAGCAGGTTCCTGACAGGGTGTAAGACTGTCATGGTCAGGAGAGTTACAGCTCCTACATTAAGAAGATAGCACATATGAACAGGGCATGAGAGGAGGGCAAGGAAATGGGGAGACAAGGTGGAAAGCCAGTGAAACAGAATGGGGTCTTTATGCCACCTGACCTAAGGCTGCAGGAACAAATATTATTTATGAAACCACTTTAGAAACCAAGTATCTGCATTCCACACCTGACTGATGTGGCACCATCAACCAACCAGCAGCCAAACCAAACCTGTTCATTAAGGATGTAGAGTCACAACCCAGTAGAATACTGAAGTCTTCCATTTTCACTCTGACACACATCAATATCCTACCTCTGGCTGAACTGACCACAGACTCCAGAGTTTTAAATGAAACTTCATTTCTGCAGGAGATAATACTAGGATCTCTTTCTAGCACTCTATCAGCCAAGTTGGTGTCGAACTGATCCTGAACAAGACAATATACTAAAGCCATAAACACACAAGCAAGCGTAAGTTGCTTTATTATGCTGAAGTCCAAACCCAATGTTTTTACAGTAACAAGACATCCTTCTCACAATTATGTGAAAACCCAAAATGAATTTATAGCTATGTCTATAAAACTGGGAAAATCTATGCAATTCTTTACTGTGAGGGTGGTGAAGCACTGGCACAAGCTGCCCAAAGAAGTGATAGATGTTCCATCCCTGATAGTGTTCAAGGCCAGGTTGGACAGGGCCTTGGGCAACATGGTCTAGTGTGAGGTGTCCCTGCCCATGGCAGGGGGTTGGAACTGGATGATCTTAAGAACCTTTCCAACCCAAACCATTCTAGGATTCTATGAATTTAGCTGAAAATGAACAAACTGCACAAACATCATTTGGGCTGTGGGCAGCACCTCATCAAAGCTGTTCTACAGATCGTACCTGAAGCCAAGATACTAACATACTGATGTCCTATAAATGTAAGCAGCTTTGGTGGTGGCATATCATGTTCATTGTTTTTAATATGTATGCAGCATTTTATTGGGCTTTAGAAGAAGCAGTATTGTGAAAACTCAGAGCTCAATTGTATTTTCATTTAATTTCTGCTTTTCCTATAAATTCAGCTAGCAGGCATTCAGAAATCATCCAATTACTTTCAATGAAATTTCATAAAACAGCTATATTTGAGGTAAATAACCAGAAAATATTATTTTTCACTTTACTTCAAGTCTTCCTTGATAATTCACACACAGAATAGATGCATCTACAGAACACATTTTCTGCATACCTGTGGAGACTAAAAAAAAATACAAGCAGCATGTCCAAAGCAAAGGTATTTGAACAGACTGATGTTTTATATTTATCTAATATCCTTCACCTTAAAGGAACACAAAGTACCTTACAAGAATTGGGCTACTTAGCACTAATATGCAGCTGCCTCTGAAGTGAAATTCAACAACTGTTAAATGGTGTGCAGCAGCTTACAACAAGAGCTGAAGATAAAGGTGTTCAACTGAATCAAGGGGGAACTTGGAGGCATAATGAAATCTATCATCTACACAGAGATAACATTTAAGATATATTTTGGTTTAGCCTCAAATAATGAAAAAATTTAAGGACTCTTGTTAAAAGACAAGCATAACATACAAAAGCTTAATTTCTCTATGAGAAATGGAAGGTGTGCCAAAAGACTCCAATTGGAGTCTGTCAAAAAGGCAAATACCCATCTAATGACAAGTGTGTGTGTCAGTCTTCTGAGGATGGGTGAGATCTGAGAAACAGACATTGGAAACATAATTCCCTAAGACAGTCAGGATTTGAGTACTGTGCTCAGTTCTGTGCCCCTTAGCAGAAGAAAGACATCCAGGTGCTGCAGCAGGTCCAGAGAAGGGCAATGGAGCTGGTAAAGTGAACTGGGCTGAGGGAACTGAGTTTGTTCAGCCTGGAGAAAAGAAGGCTCAGGAAGAATGTTATTGCTCTCTACAACTACCTGGAAAGAGAAATAGGTAGAGTGTCAAGTCTCTTCTCCCAAGTAATAAGTGATAGGACAAGAGGAAACGGCCTCAAGCTGCACCATGAGAGGTTTAGATTGGATGTTCAGAGAAATTTCTTCACTGAAAGAGTTGTTAAGCACTGGAACAGGCTGCTCAGGGCAGTGGCCAGGTCACCATCCTTGGAGGTATTTAAAAGACACGTAGATGTGGCACTTACAGACAAGGTTTAGTGGTGAACTTGGCAATGCTGTGTTAATGGTTAGATTCTATGATCTTAAAAGGTCTTTCCAACCTAAATGATTCTAAGATTCAAAATTTTCTACTAAAATCCAAGATGTCCCCGTTTTTTCTGACAGAGACAATGGCCAGGAATAAGGCTGCTCTCTAACAGACAGGTGAAGTAGGGACCACAAAGCCATAAGATCAAATGACAGCCCATTAAAGCAGTCAATACTAAATTCAAATTCTCCTTCAGGGTTCCATGACCAAAGAAATTCCACAACAGGGAGCATGCTTATGGATTTCAAAGGGTATGACAGTAGTAAGCTTACTGTGCTCTGAGCTGAATACGTAAGGCTGAGCTCACAGTTCTGATAGACAAAACCAGGACAAATAAAAATAACTAAGACATTAAATAGAAAAGAGGGATTCCTGAAAATGAAAAGACAACAGGCTCAAAAAAGCAGCAGGGTCATGTCTCTCTATAGTCTTAGAATGAAAAACAACACTCCAGAATGAGCCAGATGGCTGAAAGTTGCTGTAAAAGGATACGTAATGATCACTCACATCATGTGAGCGATGTGTAGAGGAGGCAGAGCAGATGTGCATCTGTGACTATTGCTAAGGCTAAAGTATATGACTTGAGTGCTCAGAAATATGCATGTTTTGGTATGAATATGCATACAGATACACAGTGCAAAACAATGGGTTCTATTGTTTCCCTTATTAATACTCCAAAGTAAGATTAATTTGGGCTGAACTACATGAAAAAGGCACATTTTCTTCCTAAAAATACAGAAATAAAAAGGTGTGTGTTAAATATTTAATATTAGAGATTACTAAACATCAGCGGAAATGAGAAAATGTATTAGAAAAGTCATCTTTATTTCTAAAATATATATTGCTTTCTTTGGAACAAACCTCATCACACTAAGTGCCATGGTAACAGTTGTAAGGTGACATCTTAGAGGCAGTATTGGGTAACAAACAGGGAGTACACAGATGCAAATGGCCCTATCAGAAGTGCGTATCAAACCCAGGACTTTCTGCATTAGAAATGGTAGGCATGAGCTCCCTGACTGAATAAGCATACTGCAGTTGCATAAGATGAATCATCTATCTGGCATGTGAGAGATCTTGAAAATACGGATGAACTAACAAGGAATTCAATAGAGATCTATTGGGCAAAGAGTTATTTAAGAAGCATGCTTAGGTCTAAAACCTAAATGAAAAATAAAATCTTTCCTCATATTGATTCCTTTAACTTTCTCATATTATGTGTCTTCAGGCAGTATATCTGCAGCTTACACAACGGAAAGTATTAGCTTACCTTCACAGATACTTTTCACATCCTTTCTGTAATTTCATTACCTCTGCTCTAAAGAGCAGAGATTAGGGTTCCATCATATTTAAAGGAAAAGCTATGGGGGAAGGGAGTAAAGAAGAAAATGATACTGTTCCTTCATAGATTGCTTTCCCTCAAGCGCTAATTGTTTAAAAAAGAATCCTTTTAAAACTAGAAAATTACCCTTATCTTTTTAAAAAGCTACTTCTGTCCTCTCACAATTAAAATGAGAGGGGAGACAGAAACAATAAAGAACTTTGTTACAGCTGAAACTATGCTGTTTTGCAGATGGATGCTGCTGTAGCGGCTTTGGATTATCCTCCTAAATGTTCCACCCATCTTGTTAGCAGTCACTTTCTCTACTCAGATAACTGTGTGAGAACACATGACATGTATTTTTGAATGCCACATAGCACCTGTTCCGTCACACATATTTAGAACACATACAACAACACATAGTCATTAGTTTTCTAAGAAATTATTATAGGGTTTACTCCTAAAATTACAGCTAAAAATTACCAAGTCACTTGCTACTTTCCCCTCTTTCCTAGTTTCCCTCAGAGGCTCTAGAAAAGAACTGAGCTGCCCTTTTGCCCTATCCATTTTGCAGCTTGACGAATTAAAGTACTGTATCCTATTTTCATGAGCTGACAGGGGTTTGAAAATAAAAGGTTGCAAGTAAACTTGTAAGACAGGTCAAGGTAACTGAGGTAGAGATGCTGAACAGCCATTACAAAACGTCTCTCATTTTTATGTCTACAGAAACATAATGATTATTTTCTCTTTTGTATTTAAATATAAGTCCCCACTGATAGTAAGACAGTTAATGCAAAAATTGTTAATGCACAAAGCGGTCTTAGATAGAAGATTTCCTGATATCTAACCTAATCTCTCGGTTTAAGTTTGAACCCATTGTCCCTTGTACTATTGCTACAGTCCCTGATGAAGAGTCGCTCTCCAGCATCCCTGTAGGCCTCTTCAGACACTGGAAGCTGCTCTGACGTCTCCAGGCAACTTCTCTTCTCCAGGCTGAACAGGCCCCCGTTTTCTCAGCCTATCTTTGTATGGGAGGCACTCCAGCCCCCTGATCATCCTCATGGCCCTTTCTGGACTTGTTCCAGCAGTTCCAGGTCCTTCTTATGTTGGGGACATCAGAACTGTACTAGAAATAACTAACCGGATGCAGACACGAGGAAGTTAGGATGAGCCGCAGGCAAAGACTAGCCAGCGCAGGGGCAGGGGCTTGGGAAGAATGAGGAAGAATGAACCTGCTCCCTCAAGTGTCATTGCCTTTTACATGGAAAGCTTGGAAACTGTGGACCCACTGAAATCACTTCTAAAATTCCATCCTATTTAAAGTGTAGGAAGTGTTTTCATCTTATTTTGAAGCCACTCACTTGCATTCATGTTTAGACTTACCAAAACAGGGTGCTAACACTGCTTCTGAAATGTGTGATCAATTCACTGTTCCCTGTGTGTCCTTTCTTTCTCCTGACCGATTTCTGTGGTCAGTCTGTTTCCGTAGCATGTGGATTTATGAACTACCTCCCTCACTGCTGCAGCTAATGACAAGGCCTGTGAGGATCAATGAAGATACTGCATGAGCCAAAAAAAGAAAGCAACGGACTGTAAAGTGAATGAAACAAAAATGGTTCCCCTCCAGGAAGTCCTCTTATGCCCAACTCCTGACAAAAGAATTGCTCTACACTACAATAACCAGAGATGGGCCACACACCAATCTGAAGGTTCAGACAATTAGGGATGGATGCGTCAGAAAGAAGATGGCCACCCACTTGTACAACTCATACGTGATCTCTGTCATCAGGTTACATTCCTGCATCTCACCCTCTGGGAATGAGTGAAATCAGTTTTGTTTTGAAATAAAGACGCTTTTGCTTTCTACATGGTCTCATCCTGAACAGCCCACATCATTGCTACAATTCTGCAGTATTAATTGCTGCAATCTCAGAGGAGCCCATATGCCCTCAAGTTATTTTATTAGTCAGCTGCCTGTGTAACCAAGATTGTCAAAATTAGAGAACAGAGACTGCACTGAAGCAGGTGAAGTAAACTAGCTCTGGTAACTTTGGTGTAATGGTAGATCTAATCAACTTAAAGCATCTGCCCCTTCTTTATTTATTTATTTCTTGTCCTGACTTTCAACTTTTAAGAATCATGAGCTGGTGAATAATTCATCATCAACTGAAGTAAGTGAGCATCAGCTGGGTTTTTTATCATTCTTTTTAAATCAAAAAATGCTGGCTCAAAACATTAATGCCTGAGGTAAAGATCTTTCTTTATAGTAGCAGAATCTAATTTAGAAAAGTGCATTATTGATTCTATCCATTTGTCAGAATGTGCAGTGGTATTGTGCTCAGCATTGCCAGTAACCAGAAATGTAATGTGTATATGAAAAAAGCCAGGTGCATTGAAATTATCACTAATTTTATTAGAATTCAATAGACATTTAGTTCATTTAGTTCTATTTTAAGATTTAAATGTTGGCTTTGTCTTCACCTTGATGAAAATTTACTGAAGAAAAAAACCACCTTAACGATTTATTAAGGGCTCTGGTCAAGTTGCAAAGGTTAAAGATGTATTTTTTTACTTCATATATATGAGCTACTGTTACTACCTAGATAGCCTGGAAAATGAGCTCTAGGGGAAAGACTGTTCCTGCCCTCTCCCATCTGGGCAGGTATCAAATGCTCCATGTCCAGACTGACTGCGGTTTATAACAGACTCTAGGTGGCATTTTAATATCTTTTAGTGTCAATGTTTTGAAAGAGTTACAGAGGAAAATCTGCTCTCCTCTAACGGATGTTTTACTGGGAACAAGCTCACTAGCTGTTGAAAGAGCTTTCCCTATGGACTGCTAGAATTCCTGAAATAAAATGAGTAGTTTGAGAGCAATATTTCCAAGGTTCTTCCACAGCCTTAGGAGACTTGGGAGAGACCTAGTATAAAATCTGACATTGAGTACTGTCCTGTTACTTTCATAAAATAAAGTTCGATTCCACTGGAGACATCTGCTAAAGCAGGGTTAGAAAGCCTCAAAGACATGATGTCATGCAAGAAGATAGATTATGATCCACTCACATAGGAAAGTCTATAAGGAAGCCTATTAGCATTACCACCTAAGATTGCTGAAGTAGCGAGATATGCTCCTGTATCTAAAAATCTAATCATAGTCCAGTATAAAATTTCTGGTTTCTCTCATCTGAAGTACCAGGCTTCCTTTGTAAATATAGTTATCTCCTGTGTCTAAAGTCTTCACAGAATAAGCCGTTCCTTAAGTGTTCAATCCTGTATCACTGAAGCCAAAAAGAATGTGATTATCATTTCTCACCTTCCTTACTGAACTCAGCCTTTACTTTTCACAAGCCAAGTCTCAGTAACCTGGCAGCTCAACTATGAAGTCACGTAACAGAGACAGGGAATTTCATACTGCACTATCAATATCCTAGAGATAACAACATAAAACTTAAAGAACACTTATTGTCCATTCTAGAAGTGCCAGTAGAAGCACCTAAGCTGCTACAGTGATGAAAGAGTTACAGACATGATAGAGAGATAAAACCACTTGCAGTAATGGATGAATGAATCACAACCACTTGAAGATGATACATTTTACCACAAAGAGAGGAATTCAATACTTATGCATAAGCAAAAATAACAGATGGCTGAAAACAATCAGAATACTTCAAGATGCTCCCACATATTTAGACAATACTATTTCATACTCCCAGCTACTAAAAAAGCTGCATGGTTTATATTCACATAGTTAAGACCGTTAGTAATTTTTCTTGTACTGTATTCCATACAACACTGATTTGCACTTTTAATACAGCTGCCAATCCAACGTTAAGAGCACTTCAATAAGTCAGGCAAATATTCCTATTTCAAGTTGAACCATCTTCTTCCTTTTGTACTAGCTGGTAAGCTTTAAATGACTGGTTCCAACAGCTAAAAGCAGTCCTTTGATTAAATCATCTTTGGTAAATCTCACTGGCCATTAACAATAAATCCAGCAGGCCTAGAGATTGCTATCAGAAGGATCACTGTGTACATCGCCCCTAGAAGCAATCTGTAGCATTCTGCTCCAAAAAGCACTCAAGCAATTTTTGCAGACTAATGCTGTCTTTGCCAAAATGCTTTGTGGCAATGAATTCCTCAATATATCCACACTATGGCATCTGGCTGTACACAGTTTCATGGAATACCTCCTCGTCCTTGTGAAAAGTTGTGCATGACTGTTCTCTCTTCACCTGCTGATGTCTTAATGGGATCCCATGATCTCATACAAAGATGACTTAGATCAGGCATTCCAATTCCTAACTTTTAGCTCCATTGAGTCATTTAATACTAGACTTCAGAATACAGCCCGAGGGCCTCATGAGGTCTGCTTGTGCCAGCAGCCTCTTGCAGGCTACTGGTTTTCATAGCTAATTACATCTTAAATCTAATTTTAGATAATCAAGTTTTAAATCTTTGTTGCTATCTCCGCATGGAACTCGATTTGAGGTAACTAAAACACAGGGCATTTTTCATAAGTGTTAGCCATTTTGCCTGTTGCCTAATTTCCTTATTTATATAACAAGAAAAACAATACAAAGCTTTGTGCTGTACAAAACTTAGGCTCAACATTTATAAGACACCTGAATGGTTATGGCTGTGCTTCCCCCATCTCCCTAGCCCCCCACCCTGTATTCGATATCTTACAACATTAAGGAATAATTTCTAAATCATTAAAATGAAGTGGAAGGCCATCAGTTTCAAGGTTTTTATGTCATGGCTCTTAAAAAGCTTAATAATACTTCATGCAAGTGTAACAGTGAACAAATAGTTGTATCTACATGGTTAAACTTTAAAGCTGTCAAATAATTAACATCCATGAAAGAAGACCAGAATTCAATGCACTGTTAAAAAATAAATAAGAAAAGTCTGTATTTGTCCATTAAAACCACATTAAATTGTGGAACTAACAAAATAATAACAAATAATCTGGTAAATTTCCTGTCAACACAACAAGATAAGAACTTCTGCTTGCTAACCAGCTTTTCACACAGAAATCCCACTGGCTTCTAAGGATCCATATATGCAAAGACCACTAGATTTGTATTTCCTACTCATTTAACATCTACCCTGACTACCTCTGCAAGACAGACATCCACCTAAGTATTTTCCAGCTTCTATGGCTGGTTTTGCTATTGAACAGTAACAGGAAAGGGTAGATCTCAGCATGCCACACTGCTTCAGGATACCAAACTCACACGGCAAAACCTATGGCAGATAAGCTGCATAACTTAAGATACAGTTTGTAAGCAGTCAGAAGTGATACCTTTAGCTCAGGCATGTTTATTATAAGCTGCATAGGTAGTTTAACATCTGGGTCCCTTGTATAGTCCATAGGCACAACGTTTGGTGCCATTTCATGGTATCGGCCATGCAACCTGGAAACAAGCAGAAAGAAAACAGCCAATAACCAATTTTAAGTAACCAATTCCATTCATACAGTAATCAGACACGAATCTGTCTTGCAGCTCTCATTATTTTTTGTGACAAGTCTGAGCCCACCAAATTCCCATCTTTTTGACAAAAAGAGGGCTTTGATGCAGTATCTAGCGTAACTGCTACTAACACTCATGCATAACTTGAGGTACGTAACCAAGTGGTGTTACACACTCCCTGTATATAGTATTTAAGCATTGTACATATTGGCACATGCACAGAAGTAGACCTGCACCTATGGACTAACACTGTGAGTATAATCCAAGGATCACAGCTGAGTGCGATATAATTAGCATGAAGGTATGACCCACCATTCCTCTATGAAATACCATATGTGTAATAAGAATAGGAAAGATTAGGTACTTGCTGCTCACAGAAAACTTAGAAAACATCATAAATGTAATGTACTATAAACTGTAACTTTTATCGTATGTGAACATTTTGTCTTACATGTAATTCTTAAACTGCTTAGGGGAGAAAGCAATCATTTTGCTGTCTTATGTACTAACACAGAGTATTCTGGTCTTTCATTAGGTCACATGTGCTATTTATATATATTTAAAAGCTTTATTTTTTTTTTTTTGTTATAATGAAAGTAAGTCACAAACCAAGCTATACTATCAACTGCAAATCAAGATTAACATGTTTGAAACAGCAGAATATAAACAAACTGGTAATACAGAAGGCAATATCTCACCAACCCCTGCACCTTTCCAGCTCTACCTTCAGCAACCCCTCAGTCAGGCCACATCAAGCTGAGCTATTTCAGATTAACAAGGGCAAAACATTTCTAAAACTAGGAGGAAATAATCCACAAGCGTCTCTTTTCTCAGCATCTCTTTGGGCATGATTATGATGTGCCACACATCACGTGAAATGGAACACAGAAACATGTTCTGTCTGGATCCTAGGAAACCCATGTCTTTACACTGTGCAGCAATAGACTGTGCCATACAGGAAATTAAACATCCACTGATCTAAGCATATTTCAGCTGCTGACCACAGCTCACCCTGACATTTCATAAATACTGTGTAATTCAAGATGCAATAGCCATTTCCCACACCAGCAACTGATTTCTCTGTTGTAAACAACAGCTGCAAAGATGCCCCTAAATACAACAGAAAAAAACCAGCTTAAAAGCACTTAAAGGAAAGCAAACCTTTCAAATCAAATATCCACCTATGGATTTTCCTTTTAAAGCCAGAACACTGAAATGGTGTTCTGGTCTTCATGAAAATAACACATTAATCATTGGAATGGCTTGACCATTGTGGGCACCATTTCAAAACACACCAGCCAGCAACGTCTGCTTATTTTAACTGCCAGGATTGTCTTCACTGCTTTTTCCAGTATTAGACTTCTCTGCGTTTGGTCTATCTCGTCCAACAGGACTATGAATACAGATACTGAATTGGGCATCTTAAAGGAGTAGGGGGGCTATAGGGATGCTGGGGATGGACTCTTCATTAGGGACAGTAGTGACAGGACAAGGGGTAATGGGTTCAAACTGAAACAGGGGAAGTTTAGATTGGCTATAAGGAAGAAATTCTTTACTGTGAGGGTGGTGAGGCACTGGAATGGGTTGCCCAGGGAGGTTGTTAATGCTCCATCCCTGGCAGTGTTCAAGGCCAGGCTGGACAAACCTTGGGTGGCATGGTTTAGTGTGAGGTGTCCCTGCCCATGGGAGGGGGGTTGGAACTGGATGATCTTAAGGTCCTTTCCAACTCTAACTATTCTATGATTCATAATGTGTTTCAGAAGACACAGATGGGATTGGAATAAAGTGATCCGTGTTTCATAGTTTACTAAGCTTGTTATATTAATCTAAAATGCAAGGTATGGAATTTCTTTTAGTTTTCAATAAAGAACTCTCAAGAAACCTCTTGTGTGCAACAAAAAATATTGCTTGGTCAACTTCTACTGGGAATGAACATGTGACAGAAGTCTGAGAATGTAGTGGGAAAGCATCTGTTACTGAAACACAAGTATATCACAAGAACCTATTAACAGTGATAAAAAACCCCACCCACAACAGTGGGAATTTAAAGTTCCTTTAGTGCTGGGAATAACACAGTGCTACAATAGAAACTGAATTGTAAGATGACAAATAAAAAGTACTTATTACAGCTGCATAAAGCCACACCTGACTGTCACCACTGTGACCCACAGAGACCTAGTACTCAGTACTATTTTGACAGAAATATTAAAGCTTTTTATGATGTTCACCAAATTAAGTAAAAAGTTTTGAAACAAGTATCTACAGAGCAAGTAACATTATTCTAACACAAGGAATACCCTTGTAAGGCATGTGACAGGTAGCAATGCTGTGTCCCAGGCACTATTTGCTGTGAAGCAACAATCTTGTTTCAAGGATGAAGGCCTAGGAGAGAGATCAAAGAGAAGACACAGCCACAGCTCTGCCAGCTACTTACTGACATTGCTTTTCTCAGGACAAAGGTTTGGTCCCTTTACAATATGCAATATCAGTGCAAAGTAAACCCATCATTTATTTCTTGCTCCTGGAATTGACTATCTTGCCCACAGAAATGAAAACCACCTACTTATACTGAAACGATTCCAAACCCTACAGCAGCTGAAAGAAGAACCTGATTTTTCAGCTGGAAGGATTTGTGATGGTAGTTGCAGGGCACTTAGAAGAGCAGCTAGGCTTTGCGTTAGAACTGCATTTCTTGTCCCTAGGTATCAGCTACTCTGTCTTCCCAGATAAGGCCAGCAAAAGCACTCCTCTTACTGTGGTGGAGCACCAGTAGTGGCTCCGTCTGATGGCACCAGGGTTGAGTACATTTACTTTGTTTTTCCTACTACTTCAGACAATAAGCTTTTGCAGTTCAATCAAGAAAAATGATCCTAGCCTAGCCCATTCACACCTCCATACAATGTAAATACACTCATTTCAGACAGCATCTCCCAAAAAATTAATTCAAAGTGTCCCTCAAAAAGGATTAGATTTTAGCTTAAAACATTGCAAAAGGACACAGAATAAACAAGTTCCTTTAGCTTGCTGCCACAGATTATAATGGAACACATTCCTCTTTCCTTTCTGCAAGGAGTCACAGCCAGAAGCAGCAAGTTAAACACCACATCTGCTGAGAGAACTCAATTTTTGCAGTTAGAAAGGAAAACGCGTGGCCCAGGGATGCGAGGTGGGGAAAAACAACCAAAGCAAGAAAGCAATTCCCCCATCAAACATCTTTACCATAACACACATCCCTACCTATACATGTTAGTATGTCCAGTTTCTACACCTTGTTTTATTCAGAAACATGCATAATGCAGATAAGATTTATTTTCACAGAAATCTGTTAATATGTTCCCAGTCCATCCCTTTGAAGTAAAGTGTTTCTTTTATCTCTGAAGAGGAGCAGAAAGGAGGTGCCAGGCACTAGTAAGCAAACAGCTTTCCAGCACACAGCTCAGCAGGACTCTGCTAGGATAGCTAGAAGGCTTCTGATGGACACAGAAACCTTCAAATAACCAACCAGACTAACTCTTCCATTGATCCACCAAATCACTCTGGTATCTGTAGGTATAAGTGCTTTGCACCTGAGTGGGTCTCACACTAAAGCATTAAAATGAGCCTGTAGGAAGTGGCTATGATCCAACTTCTGCAAACTAAATTACATCAACTTCCATGTGCTTTTATCTGCAAGGATCCTGCAACTCTATTTGTGCTAGTTTCATTACGTGGCATGATCAACTAACATCACAATGAAAAAGGCCGTAAGAATTCTCTAGCTTAGGTTCCAAAACCAATATGCAATACATTGCACAGGCTCCATTAGCCTTTATAATAAAACAAACACAAAACCCCAACCGAATGAACAACAAAAAAATAGTAACACCTTCTCCCACTCAAAGCTCTTTATGCTGGCAAGTTCTTCAGGAACACCATGCACTGGTTTATGGCAAATGGGATTGCCAGTCTCTCAAGTGGCCAGATTTTTGTAGATAACAGGTTAAAGAAATGACAGAGCTGCCTCAGCCTCTTAAAGGATTCTGAAAAAGCCACGTCTTTTTGCAAGAGTTTCAGCAATGCTTCTGTTTACTGGAGTAACCCACATTACACTGGGTGAATACCTACTTTTTGGCAAGTAAACTGGATGCATTTCTGATTATTCTATACCACAATGTAAAGATCAGCAGACATGAGGGTTATTTACACCCACAATCCTCCTGCCTTTGTGCAATACATCACTACATCGATTTGTCATGCCACTGCCATGCTTGGACCAAGTACCACCCCAGTGCTGCACTGTTTGGCACTGTACATATTACTATCTGCTCTGACACATCTCTCAATAACATTAATTACTAACTATAAATAGAAAATAAACCAACCTCTGTGGTAAAGGCTGTAATATTTCTCCTGTTCTTAGAGAAGCAGAAGGCACTTCAGGTGAGTTGAATACATCAGAGTAGTTGTGACCTACAGAGGAAAGGCTTTTTGTCCTTTTACTCAACAAGAAGCGTCTCTCAAAATAACCTAAATCTGCTTTAGCTGTCAGAGTTCATCACAGAAACATTTGTGTCTTGTCAGGGGTTTTGCAGTGTCATCTGAACACATAGATTTGAGAAGATTGCCATTACCACATACAGACCACTACATATGCTCAGAAGGCCAGGCCCTGCAACCAGCCTCACTGTCTTTGCAGTAGTAATTACAGATCATGGAGTGATAATAGCTTCAAAACAATTCTTCTGGATGCATGCAGAAGCACCTTCAACTTCCTGGATGGACTCTGTTTCCAGGATGCCTTATGTATCTGCATGGAATAAGGAGAGGAAAAGCTGGCAGTGTTGACTAGCGCCTTCCCTCCACAGATGAGAGCATTTAAGCTTGATGTACTATATTCAAGAATTAAGGCTGTGATTCTGTATCACTGTAACCTAATCTGAACTCAAACTGCCCTTGCAGAAGTT